TCTTGCTTCTTAACACATACAAAATATAATTCATGTGATTTAATGCTTATGGAGATTAAAATTTTTCAAATTATTTTTTCAGAAAGATTAATATTATTAATAATATATTATTATATATAGAATTCAACGTTTTAGATCATTTTTTTAAAATCACTATTAAAAATTTAATCTGATGGAGTTTGAAAATAATTCTTCATTAATCATTATTTAATGATAAATTAAAAACAAAAGTTTTGAAAAAGAAAATGAGTACATTTTACATTCATGTTTGTTACAGTTATCTCTCCCCTACTTTGTTTTCATCCTGGTTAAATGAAAATTTGTCTTAACCTACTATTCCTGAATAATAATGCTGAAAAATTAGATTGTCTAATAGTTTTAGCTATGAAATTAATTCTACAAATAATATAAAATTAATGCAAAGATAAAGAAATTTGAAATTTAGTTTCAAAATTGTTTTCCTTTAACATCAGTTATTCATCATTGTTTGGCACCAATATGTCTGCCATTTATCTTGTAGTGGTTTTCATTATGATATAAATAGGATAACTCATATATTAGGATTTTATAATAACACATTTTAATAAAAACTTCTAAACTAGATTTAGTTTACTTCACACATTTTATAGAATCTTGGTATATAAAAATTTTAGTGCATTAATCAAATGTGTATTAAGGGATGTCTGTATTAGGACAAACTGAAATTTAATTTTCTTTAAAAATTCAGTTTCTTATTCTAAGCTTTTACTGTTCACAAGAATTATATTACTATTTTTACTATTACAATTTTTTTTTTTTTTTTTTTTAATCAATTCACCTCAAGCAGGGTAATAATGCTACTAAGATGCAACGGTCTACTGGGAGAGAAAGAAACTGAGAAAACTTTAGAAGGAACCAGAAACAAGGGATAAACATCTCCTGTTCAAAAGACCACGGAGGAGTGTGACCCAGATGATAGGCAAGCCTTACTATTATTGTTAAGGTTACTCAAGGCTCACTTCTCGGTCCAACCCGCTTTCTACATTACATAAGTGATTTGTCTAACGCCAGTCATTTGTGAATATCTATATTAATAATATGACATTATAGGAGTGCACATCCAAAACACTAGATGACCAGAGCTTGGCAACTGATCTCTCTTCTACCTTAGCACTAACAGGTCAGTGGGTAGAAAAACTGGCTGGTCACATTCACTGATATTTTTTTTATATATAAATGCGCATATTCTGTTAATTCAAAAATTAGCATTATCTATATTTATAAACAAGATGAAAATATAATAAAAAATTTAGTAAATACTAATATATCAACAACAGATCCTAGCAAAAAAAATTAAATTAATCATATACTACACTAAATCTAGTATATCCAACTTAATTCTTCGCAATGATTCTTCTCCCCTGGTTAGCAATTTGCAAAAAAACCAACATAGTTTATAAATTAAAGTGCCCTTTGGGAGAGTGTATCTCCAACGAATTAAATAATATTTATGTTGGCCACACCACAAACTCGCTTTCACGACGCTTGACACTACATTTAAATGAAAACTAACATTTTTAGGCATTTAAAACAACATGCCTGGCCGCACACACAATTCCGTAAAATCCTTGTCGAAAACACAATTATACTTAAACATGAAAACAATAAACAAAAACTAAAAATCCTTGAAGCTATATACATCAAACAGTTGAAACCTAACTTAAACAAAATCAACTATGGAATCTCTACAAATATCCTTAAATGTCTATAATTGGTAACAGAAGCCATTGGTTTATACCAATGGCTTCCCATACTTAATACTTCTCAAATTCACTCTTGCATGGTCATGTGTGATGTCATGAGCTGCGGTGCGATTTTTGCTTCTAGTGTCTTATATGCAATGTGTTTATCGTTGTCTTGGAAATTATCCATGTAAACAATAACAGACTATCATCACTGTCTTGTCCGTATATTGCTTAATATATTGTACAGTAATTGACATCTTTGATAATAGCTTATGTAAGCCGAAAGCTTAGATTGGATTAAAAAAATATGGATCAATATTGTGATTTTTTTTCTTCGTTTAATGATAATGTTATTAAGCTTATCAGATGTTATGAAGATAATTTACATAAAATAGACAGACAACACTTGTCTATATTATTTAATGAAACATATATAGGCAGCAAAATTTCTTTGAAACATCTTTCATTATATATGATGGACAAGGAAAATTTTATTTATTTTTTTTTTTTTTTTTTTTTTTTAGTTTTACCAGCGTTCTTACATTTTTCCATTTGGTGGGAGTGAGTACAAAACTGTCCATATTGTTGATTGTCCCAAGCACTTTCAGCCACTACTTTAGCCATTTTCAAGGTCTTTGTTTTTGGTGTAGTTAGTTTATTTTCATGTTTTGACTGTGTGTGATGTATTATTTGCTACTATAATTTACAAATAATGCATCTCATACAGTCAAAACATGAAAATAAACTTTAAAAAAATTAATAAAATTTTCTTTGTTCATCATAAAGATATGATACAAAGCCAGATTTGACAATTTTCTAAAATATTTTTCTAAAAAAAATACTTGGATTACAGGTATCTCAACATGAGTTTTAAACTAGTTTCATTGTGTTCACTGCTGAAATAAATTTTGATTTTACCTTTGAGTGATCTCCATTTTTTGATATATATAAAAACATTACATCTTCAAAGACAAATGCAAAATTGAAAATTTTACAATATCTATTCAAAATAAGGTTTAACATGTAGTGAAAATTTAATCAAAGTCAGTTTTTAGTAAATTGCAACCTAGAATTAAGAAAATTTATTTATTCTAGAATGAAAAAGAGAAAATGCATTTTTCACATTATTTTAAAGAGAAGTTTGTATTAAAAACTCATTAACAACAGATAAAAAAAGTAGTTTTCAGATGTTTTACCCATTTATTAAAGGGAAAAGATTTTGCAGTATTATTATTCAAGACAGATAACAAAACTGAAAGCATGTTACAGAAGATATGAAGTTGACTGCATTTGCAAGGCAAAGGAACTACATCTGAACTCCAAAGTTTTGTGGTATCAAGATTTTTTAACAAAGAAAAAGTAAGATTTTTTTTTTTTTTCTTTTTTTTTTCTTTTTTTTTAATATCTTCCTATTAAGAAAAGGCAAAGTCTAAGTAAACTTTTTTGGATATCCTCCTATTGAAAACTGTTATTCTTTGATTTATTGGACCCCTTGTTTGAAAATTTGATAATTTGGGGTTTCATACCCTTTTTTTTTTTTTTAATACTGGTTACTGTGTTTTATGCTTTTGTTTTTTCAGAATTTCTTGTGAAGTTTTAGCTATTATATTTATTAAAATCTCTCCTGATAATTCTCTTTATGAAACCATTAATAGTATAGTTTTTCTTTTAGATTAAATATACAAAAATGTATGTGGGATGCTAAGAAAGTAATGCTTCTTATTTATTTCCACTAAAACTACAGCAGATACAAGGGGCACAATGCCTTTGGATTGAGCAAGTTATCAACCACAAAACACCATTTTCCAAGTTTTTACATTAGCAATAAAGTCACTGAGACACAAGAGTTACTGGATTTGAAAGAATTAGATAACAGAAACATTACTAATAAGCAGGAACAAAAATAGTAATCAAGAGGACAGTAGATAGCAATTGACATTGCATTTAAATCTTTGAAGATTAAAGCTAGCTGGAAAGCATGAAGCTGGAAAGGAGTTTCACAAGCAAGAAGCGTGAGAAAAGAAACTGTTAGCATAGTATTTACGGTTACATCTTGGTAATTAAACTGTAAATTGATGGGACCTTGTTGCCAAATTAGTACTGTGCTTAAATTCATAAAGTATAGGTACCATAGCAAAAAACTCATCTGAACAATTACTATGAGAAAGTATTTATAGAAAAGGCACCAGGAGGCAACTTTATGGTGGTGGGAAAGTGACTGAAGCCAAGATGCCACATCAGAACCAATAATATTGCTGATTCTTCTTTGGATTTTATTCAGGATCTCTAGATATATAGGAGGATCATATATGGCAGCAATATTTTAAGCATGGATGAATGGTTAGTTATAGATATGCAAGATAGATTCTGGAGAGAGAAAAAATGTCTGGCATGACACAGTGAAGCAAAGTTTTTTTTTTTTTTTTTTTTTTTTAGCAGCTGACCTAGCAATGGATTCAATATAGTCTTTCCACTTCATGTCATCTGAGAATGTTGGCCCGAGGAGGTGCAACGCGACACTATCCTGGAGCTTAGCATCAGCCATGCTGATCCAAGGCAGAAAGGGGTCTCTCAGATGATTAATAAAAAGCAGTTTTGTTTGGAAGGCATTAAAATTAACAAGCCATTCTTTGTCCCATTTACCAACAGACTGTTTTTGACATTAGCTGCCAATTTGAACATATCCAACTGATCAGACTCGCTATTGAGATAAGAGTAAATATTGTGTCATCAGTATAGATGCCAAGTCAAGAGCTGATGTCATCAGAAAGGTGGTTAATGAAAATTAAAAACAAAGTAGGATCAAGGATAGAGCCCTGGAGGACTATTAGGATAGCTGTCATAATATTTTTCAAATAACAAGTTTTTATTAAAAAGATTTGGAAAATTTAAAAAAACTTTTTTTTTTCCTTTTTTTTTTTTTTTTCAAAAAGTTTTACTTCAATAAACTTTCTGTTCTTGATTAATTACAAACAGAAACACTGGATTTACAAACTATGGACTCAGAAAAAAAAAGAAAAAACTTTTAAAATCTCATATCCAAAGAACCAGTAGAATTTAGTTTTTCTCATCAACTAATAATCAAAATATGTGATGGTGGACGTCAAAATGAAAACTTTATTTTTACTGACATGATCTGACTTAGAAAACTTTTATCTTTTTATATTAAAATTTTGTATTTATTTTGTGTTTATTCATAGTTGCTTGAAGATCTGACTTAGAAAAATTTTATCTTTTTATATTGAAATTTTGTATTTATTTTATGTTTATTCATAGTTGCTTGAAGAAATCCCTTCTGGTTTTGCTGAGACACTTAATGAAGCAGTAAAGGAAGCCAGACCTGGTAATTTTTTTATTTTTGTTAATTCTTACAATTTTGGTTGAAATTGATTACTAATATAAAATTTACCAATTTTATCAACTATATCATCTTCATATTGTTTTCTTTCAAGAAATAAAATTTTATCTGGCAACTTAATTTGAGTAGGTATTAAATATCTCTTGACTTCCAAAAGTACAATTAAGAAAAGAAAACATTATTTTTTTCTTTTCACCTCCTTTTACTGTATTTAATTTTTTATTTATTTACTTTATTTTTGTGCTGCCAATATAGACAACATGTTTGCAGTATTTGATAATATTGTTTTCTTGGAATAAATAAATCTCACACATAAAAAAATATTTATCTTGCAAATGTACTGTGAGAATTAGCAGATGTCTTGATCTTAGTAATTGTAGCAGGATTTCTAACTCCATAAAGTAAAATTTCCTGCATTAATTTCTCTTATGCCCATATATAGAACTATGATAAAAAACATTCCATTACCTGTGTGATGAATATTACTTAAAATTTAGTGATAAAAACAAGAAAGATATTAATCTGAACAACTTGTGTAATATTGACTCATCTCAAAATAGCAGACAATGCTAAACACAACTTCTTTTTATACTATTAGATAATATCAAAAAAAGCAAACCTGAAAGATTTAAAGAGCATTAATTTCAAAACAGGAATTTTGCTAAATGTTTAGGATATATTAGCTTATTTGTTTGTAAATCCATTAGGAATGTATTTTTATTGTTTTACCAATATTTTTGAAGTATTAGAAATTAGTATTTGCAAGTGCAAAATATTTAATTTGAGTTGAAAATATTTTCTTAGCAAATGAACAGATTTCATATTTGAAAGATATGTGAATCCTTAGAACCAAATACCTTCTTTGTTTTATTTATTTACTTATTTATTCATTTTTTTGCAGCACACCGTAAAGGCAAAGATATTGATTTTGCAGCCCGATCAGCATTAGTATTGCCAGATTTTTGCTATGTATTCAAGCCCAACTGCCTTTCTATTCCCCAATCTCTCTTATCTGTTCGATGTCAATCTACAATCAGTATTGAAATTAAAGTAAGAACATTCATTTACATTTAATTTTTATTAGTAATCTTTGTTGTTGTTGTTTTTTTTTCGTTTTTTTTTTCATTAAATTAGAATTTAAAAAGTGTTTCTGTTATCTTTAAATGCTTAAATTTTAAATTCTAGATTATTCATTATTACAGTTTTTTGTGCACCAACCTATTGTAGCATCTCATCTTGTGGAACAATTTGCTGATGGAATGAGTTCGATTCTTACTTGCGTGACTCTAGCAGCTTTATCTAAGCTCAATCTTCTGTTAGTACTGTGGGATGTTTAACACCCCATAAATTTATATTTTTAATATTTAGTAAATGGCAAGTCAAATTTTCATTAGTCATGTAGCTTCCTGTCAAATATAAGGAGTTTCTGGTTTTAAAATATTTATGTGAATCACAAGCAGTTTTATTTGTTTTAATAAAAATAAAATGAAACTTATTTAAACCTGTTTTGAATTTTTTAAATCTTATAAATTCATTTTTTTTTTTACATTGGCCTTTTAATTTGATTTTTCTAAATAAAAGCTTTTTTTTTTCTTTCTTTTTTTTTTTTTTTTTTGGGGTTCATTGTTATTTGTCTGATAAAGAACACCAAGACTATATTACAAGAAAATTAAGAACAAAATAATATATCTATAATAATTTAAATGAGGTATTTGTAATCCCAAATGGTACTAATGCTGTGACAATACCCCACAGTGTTAATGGAGGGTTAAATAACTGAAGTGCTTACAATAGTATGTTGATTAGTAAGTTTAACCACTGCCCAATTCACTAATATAATGAAATTGGACCTTACTGGGTTCCTCACGACAGAGCCAAACATAACTGATTTTAGTAAATAATTAATATAATTTTATTACTATTCAGTTTTAGAACATTTTCATGTTAGCTTTAATTTAAAATCTTACAAATTGAAATCATTATACAAGTATTAATGATTTTATTTTTAGACTGTCTGTTCTTCATACTTATGGCCTTTTAATTTACATACCTACAAAATGCTTTTTCATTTTTCTTTATAGTATCCAATTATTACACTGTCTTGTATACAAATTTAAGATGAAGTGTTGAACAGTTGTCTAAAAAATTCCTTGTATAACCTATCTTAATAGTCAGCGTTGTATTTCAAAATGATTTATCTTTCAAGGAAAAAAAAGTTGTCATTGATTTAAAATAGAATCACCTTCTAAATTGTTATTTGTTAAGAGAAATAAAAAAAGAAACACATTGACAATTTTGCTGAGTAAAAATCTCAAATAATAAAAGTATCTTTGCATTCAATTTCAGCCCAAAACTGGATTTTTGCCAACTTCCAAGCACATAAAACACCCAATTAAGTTAAAAGTCTGCAAATTTTGTATGAGTTCTCGGTTAAAGGTAAATATGATTTTATAATAAAAATTTTTAATTTTGCTATCATTGATCATTATCTTATAGTAATTTTGTTTTTATTTTTTTTAATTTTTTTTTTATCTCTTAGTTTTAAATAATATTCTTTTTTGATATAATTAACTATATTAGTTATTGTTTGCATAAATTTAACTATTAAGCCTTCATAGTTTAAGCTTCTACAACTGTTTCTGGGTTGCCTTTTTTAAATATCAATTTCTTTATGAATAAATTATTTTAAACTGTAAATTCATCTTAGTTTTCTTGAAATATGCAATAATTTAATATTGTCATTTATAAAGATTGTGGATTGTAGAAATCAACACTGCATGGTGTTTGTAAATTTCAAACCTTGATCAACAGACTACAAATATGATGCTTTGAAGGTCACTTGAAGTTGGAAATTGCCTGTCAACATGCAGTATTGATTTCTATGTTCACACTGTTTATATCTACAAATTCTCTACACCCAATATGGAGCCCTCCCCACATAAATATAGCAAATTTTAAATAATATAATTAAACATTATGTAGATTTAATTCAAATTATAGCCAACTAAAATAATTCTTAGATGTTTTTTGACAAAAATTTGTTTCTTTTCATTGAATTTAATTCATTTTTCCATTAGGAAAATTTTATGTCAAGTTTTTTTTTATTTTTTAATCCCCTTGTTACAACTGACTATGAGATATTGTTTTGGAAATCAATAACTTTTATAAAAGTTGTCACCTCTTAGTCAATCGTGTGATGAGTGTTAACACTATTGAAATACAGTGCTACCCAATTGCAGATGCATTCAGGCCCTTCACATGAAGTATGTGAATCTTGCAGGTACATTTGTGGGATTTCCTGCTTTAAAGGGTTAAGCATCCTTTTCTTCTTTGCAGTTCTTTTTAGCTTCATTTGTCACTTTGCTGATTTAATTTTTTCCCCCTGCTCCATCTTGTCATTGGTTGTTTGGTAACTTTACTATTTTTGTAAGTTTTTAGCTTATATATTTAGGAATTTGATATGTTTTAAATTATCCTTTTACTTTTTTAAATCTTGTATTTGTTTTCTGGGTTTTCTTTTCCTCTTTTAATAAACAAATTCTTGTTCCAGTTTTGCTGTATTTTATATCCAATTCTTTAATCCTTGCATCTATTGCTTCTTGTCAGTGAATTCACTACTTCAAAAAATGTTTTTCCTTTTAATTTTTTTCCTTTATATAAACTTATTCTGTGCTTGTAATTTTCTTTTTCAATATTTTTCTATTTGTAAAATTTACAAATATGAAAATTTCAGATAAGTTATTTTATTACTTTTTCTCATGAAAAAGCAATAACACATTTACAATTGATTTCAATCATTTGTGTTATTGTCCTGACTTTAATTTTTCTTTGATTTAAATACCACCCCATTACATATCAGTATTATTTCGATCTACTAGTTTGTCTATGCTGTAAAAATACTGGCATATGCTTTCACATGTGAGTCTTTAAATATATTCTTCCAGTCATTATTGTTGCACTCTTTCAAAAAATCAATTTTTTTTTTCACTTGCTGACTTTAAACACTTTGGAAACATTTTGTCATAAAAGGTTGGAGTCACCAGTACAAAGGATTTAACTATAGTTATCTCCCTTGCGTTACTGACATTACAAAGAACTTGCAAATACCCATGGCATATTATATAAGTGGTGCTTAAAAGTTTGTCGTTCTCACAACATTCAGGACCTTTTTTTTTCTTTTAGATTCTACATTCATTAATTAATAGCATCAAGCTGCTTACTTTAATGTAAAAAGTGAACTCATCACTGTGATAGGCATTAACAAAAATATAAAAGAAAACCTGTCAAACATTGATTAAAAACAACACTCCGTCTGAGAAATTTGGACAATTCGAGATTATTATTATTATTACTACTACTACTACTAATAATAATAATACTGATACTGAAAATCAGATTGCACTTATAAGATTAAATTTGAATAATACATAATGATTGATTTTTGTAGCCTAATCAGTAAATCATTATCTATATCAGACATATTCCTGTTATAAAATAAAATAAGACATATCTCGGCTGATTTACAGGCAAATACTCAAGAGCAAGAGCTGGATGTGAACAGGACAAAACCCTGTCACAAAATGACCATTATCTTCATTTACATATGTTCCCAACACACGTGTTCCGGTCAAAAAATAAAATAATATTTAAAGTGTTCTATTTTTCGTCCAATAAAAATGCTTCCCTCCTAATTAGACTTGCTTCGTTTTTCGAGCCTGTTAAGCCATAAAAAACCGCTATAAAAGGGGTCACACGGAAGTTCAACAGGCAGTTAACAGGTGGCCAGTGAACAGACCTGTCACGGTCAGGCCGAGCGATCAGCAGCAGGGGAGCATCAACCACCGTCAACATGTGTGAACTACTATGAGAGATCGACCTAGATCCGAAGCCGGCTTATGAACTATACCACAAAGTAGCTGTCCCAAACCCTCACGTTCCTGTTGAAATAAACCATGTAAATCTATTTCTGCTGTTGTCGTATTTCTTTCTTGCAACCATATGCTTGTCTATAACACTGGTGTCAGAAGCGTACAGAAAGAGAAATATGGCTGACTACACAAGCTTCACCCGAGCCAAACTATTTACTCTCATCAAGGAACAGAAAACACTACTATTCAACTTGAAAACAGGACCAACACAGCCTTCCGAAGCCACGATACAGGAAATTCAAGCCGACATTAACGACATGCTGACTGCCCTAAAATCAACTACTTCAACACCTCCCACCGCTCAAACAAACAGCGATTACAGCTTAATGATGCGCCAACAAACTATACGCAACATATTGAAGCTAGAGAGAACTTTTCACCCTGGATATGACGTGAACCGATTCATCACGGCCCTAAACAAAGCATACACAATCCACGTCACGCCAGAACTCGGCACCTATCCCAGCCAGGAATGCAAATTCGTCAAGTCTGCTAAATATTTACTGGACCAAAGTATCTTTCAGCAGATGGTTGACTCAAAAAAGGACATATCCACCTTCGAACAACTGAAGGAATACTTATTAGGAGCCCACGGAAGCCAGATGACTAACTTCCAACACCTCAGTCAAGCCTGGGATCTGGAACAACCAGAGGCGAAAAAATTAACAGACTTCGTGGGTCGACTCAAAAACACCCTTAGAGAGGCAGCCGTCCACATAAAAAACAAATACAAAAAAGACAAAATACAGACTTAACAGTCAATGGACTTATTTCCATCATCGGCGCTATGCTAATGAGTGAAAAGGTGAAAATTTGGAACTCAAATCTTTACCCACATCTCACATGACAATGGACAACCACTATTCAGCCATTGGCATAGTCTCCAAGCTCAAATATACCTTGATCAGCGATGTAAAATCCAACTACCTGCGACTTCGCACAACACTGTGTATTTCACACAGAAACCACAGCGGTCAAACAAAAGAAATGCGCCACTCCGACCCAGCAGCCAACCAAACCCACAGCAGACAGGCTCACCAACCCTCCCGAATATGGCCACCATCATTTCTTTCTTGCAACCATACGCTTGTCTATAACATTCCCAAGGGCATTAGATTTTTGTTCACATTTCATCTGTGGCCATTTCTTAACCATTTTGTTCACATTTCATCTGTGGCCATTTCTTAACCATTTTGTTCACATTTCATCTGTGGCCATTTCTTAACCATTTTGTTCACATTTCATCTGTGGCCATTTCTTAACCATTTTGTTCACATTTTCATCTGTGGCCATTTCTTAACCATTTTGTTCACATTTTCATCTGTGGCCATTTCTTAACCATTTTGTTCACATTTTCATCTGTGGCCATTTCTTAACCATTTTGTTCACATTTTCATCTGTGGCCATTTCTTAACCATTTTGTTCACATTTTCATCTGTGGCCATTTCTTAACCATTTTGTTCACATTTTCATCTGTGGCCATTTCTTAACCATTTTTACACTGTGTGACCACAGTGTAAAAATATCCTGTGCATTGTGATTTAAAAAAATGAAAAAGCAGAAGTTAATAAAAATATTATTAATTTTGTTAATTTAGCAGAATGTTTATATTCACATAAGCTAAATTCTCCTAAATTGATACTGAAAATTGTTACTTAAAAATGAAGAATTTTTTCTATAATTTTGAAATTACATTACTATGTAGATAAATCATAACCTAATGGTGAACTTTTTTGTTCACCATTAGGTTATGATTTATCTATCTATTGTCAGTATATTTTCTCTCTTTTTGCATTTGCAACACCAACTTCAAATATTTTCTGGCTGGCCAATACCCTTTAAATTTTCAATTTTTTTGTGTGTGTGTCACTCATAAAACCATTTTTTCTTCTTAACAGTGTTTTTAATTTCTTTTTTTTAATTGTTTTATGACCTATTTAACTTTTTAAGATTTCAAACATTTGTCTCCTCTCAGTCAATACCATTACAATATATTCTTTTTTTTTTTTTTTCTTTTGTTATATCCTTCTTACAACTCAGCAATATTTTATTTCTGAAATTAAAAAATAAATCTTATTAACTATGAATTTAAGTGCAGTACTAGATTAGCAACAAGGTCTCACCATTTTACAGTTGGAATGGCTAGATGTAACCATAAGTTTTATGTTAAGTTTCTTTTATCATGCACTTCTCGCTTATGGAACTCTCTTCTGACTTCTTGCTTTCCAATCAACTTTGATCATCAAAAATGTAAATGTAATGTCAATCATTATCTTCTGTCTTCTTATTCTTTTATTGTTCTCTCTCCTTAATAGTAGTTTTTTTTTTCCTCGTTCTCTGATGCTCAGTAATCGCTTGCATTCTAGTGTCTTTATTGTTTTGCTTGGGGTGAAAAGATTAAAAAAAACTATATTATTATATATACTTATTTACAATAGGATGAGCAACCTTTAAGTAGTATAATAAAATCTCACAAATAGATTATTGTGAATATTTCTAATAAAAACAGATATAAGCTGAAATTCACTTGGTATGATTATCATATAGATAAAAGTATATCCTGAAAGTTTTACCAACATGAGTTGATTAATACTTTTTTATTGTGTTCAAATCTGATATAGTGTATACCATTAGAGATATTTCAAATAAAGATAGATCTCTATACTATATGTCAAATGCAGTTTGTTTCTAACTCCAAAATGTATATTAAACAAAGAATTTTGGTTTTAGATCGTGAGAGAATATATATTTATTTTTATTTGCCATTTTTTACATATTTGAAATACGACTATACAAAATTCCATTGTTATTAAAAATTAATGTCATTTGTCAAACTAGTTGGACAATATCTAAAATAATGAAATCTTGTTTTTCTCAAATATTTTCCAGGGCAAACGTATGTGGTTAAAGCCGAGTAGTTATTGTCCTCTTGATCTTTTCTCAGGGTAAGATTTTCATTTTTTTTTTTTTTTTTTTTTTTTTGTAATTATTTTAAATTTTAATTAACATTATATTAAACATAACATTGCATAATAAAAGATTTGGGGTTATGCATTCAAGAGTTTTCATAAAGAAAAGGTGCTTTGTGGCAGGGTTTGAACCTGGGCCCCTTTATACAGGAAAACCACCCTCTGGACTACTGTGCTATAGATCAGTCAACCACAAAGCTTTCACAGTCTAGTAAGGTTCTTCATTTTGAAGTCTTGAAGCCCATTTCTTTATATCGAAGATGTAAACAAAATAATTTCTGTGAAATTGATGGATTTTATTTATAATCTGTCATTATTACTTTTTTGTGTAAACATTATATTTACTTACATTTATTTAGTTGATATTAGTTATTTAGTAGAAATTTTTTTTTAAACATTAATTCTTTAAAATAAAAAAGAAAGAATAATCAGATTTATAATCCATAGTTTTTTAGCATTTATTTTTTTAAAAAGTGCCCGATAGAAAGTAGAGCATAATAATATATTATTTAAAAATTTAGTTCCAAAACAGTAATTTTTGTGTTGTGATGAAAATATATTTTTAAATAATAATATTATATATATAAGTTGTCAGTTTCAATCTAAGTAAAAATAAATCCTTTCAAATAACACTTCCTTTGATCAACAGATTTAAGCTAACCTTCCTGATATTTCTATGAAATATAGGTTATCTTTATTGAAACATAAAAATATTTGAAAAATCAGAAATTTAGATAATGATAAATGTAATTATCTAAAATTCTTGATTTTATAAATCTTGCTACTATTTCTTTATAGCAATGAAATAGTTCATTGATATTTCTTGTCATTTTGAAAATGCATGCTCTTAAAATTATCAAATAGCTTAACAACATACTTGAGATGTTCAACTGGTAGAATCATTGTATGGGAACAAATTAAACAAGATAAGACCCAAAATCATTCAAACCAATTTACCATGAAATTCATCAAATTAACTTTGAAATTGATGATAAATCACTTTTCAATCAAATTTTGCATATATTGTTTTTCACTTGTTGCATTTGAATCAGAAAAAAATGTCTTATTTTCATTGCAGAAAACGGTCTCGTGTACGTCATGCAATTCATGCACTCCTTGATACACCACAGAATAATTTAAAAATATGTAAGGTGAGATATATGTAGTGAAATTAATTTTTATGAAAAATGTTAACTCCAGTTCATTTTATGATTTAAAAAAATTTTTTTTTTTTTTCAATTAATATTTATTTCCTAAGTTTTTTTATTTATTTATTACTGTTTTTAAAGCAAAATGATTGTTTTTAATTTATTCCAGTATGCATAACCCATGAGAATCCTTATATTTGGTGAGTTTTAATGTAGTGTTAGCAATCTGAGTTGATTGCTCTACTAATATGTAAGTGAAATCAGTTACTGACATTTCAAGTCATACAATTAAATGTATCTAAAAACCAATTTAGTTACACTATATGCTCTAGCTCTAAACTTAGTTTACTACATATAAGACTTTTAGAGATTATGCTTTAATTTAATAATATTTGCAATATAGGTTAAATCTAAAATTCTTCCTCAAAGATTTTTGCACACTTTTACAAATATTAGATAAAATTTAAACATGCACACGTATAATATATTTTGATACAATTTAAAATTTTATTAAAAAAATTTCCTTAAAGTTTTTTTAGATGTTTTTCTCTTCAATTTCAAAATATTTAATTTTTGTTGTAAGATATACTAAATATCATTTCATTAGTAAGTTGGTTATATACTTCAGTTAGCTTTTCTAAATTTGTAGATATTGGCTTTAAAAATTGATATTTTCAAAGTATATATTTACATAATATATCAAAGCAAAGTGGGGGGAAAAACAAGTATAAGAAAAAAATATTCAAGTGAAGTTTAAGGTAGTGAATCAAACAATATAAGAAAACAGCTAAATGGTTATTGTTCCTTGCTCTTCAGTGTTCAATTGAGGACAAAGCATGTGCACATTGACTAAAACTGGGAGGGGGAAATACTACTAAAGAAAAAGCAATATAAATCACATTATATTTAGATGCAACAAGAATTCCTTCTGCTTACAGAGAGAAGATTGCTTAGACTCTCTCTCTTGTGTGTGTGTGTGTGTATATATATATATATATATATATATATATATATATATATATATATATATATGGTTTCAAACTAATTTGAATTTGCACTGTTGTCTATTGAAAAAATCTCTAGTAAAATATGAGTCACAAATCTGATTATTTATTTAGATGTTCTGCAATTGCAGAACCAGAAGTATTAACAAGTGTATACAAATTTTCATACTACCCTCTACAGATCTTGGACATGCTGATCAATTCTCACCTCCTCCTTCTGAGTAGTTTTGCCAATATACACTGACATTTAAAGTTATAAATCACCCAACTAACATGGGACATTTTAGAGAACATCTTTACAAATAGATTTCAACAAAGATTTGGAATAGAAAACAAGTTGTGGATTGGCAGAAAAACAATAAAAATGCACACTTTGAGAGAGTTACCTAGCAAAAATTCTTGTGCTAACTTTACCAATCTAAGGTAATTGTAAATAAACTGGACTCTTTTCTTCACTTTACAGTTTGGGTTCATTAAATTGTACAACTTTAGCATGAATGCTAGATTGCACAATATCCAGTTATCAATTTTCAGCTAAAACCTTTCTAATAAATTAAATTTCAGAAATTAATTTGCTTTTAGAAAATCTCATCATGGCAGGAAATTTTGATCAAATTCAGTTGTAGTTGTTTAAGACAAAAAAGTCCCAACAAGTATATGATCCAGTAAAAGTATGCTTACAGTTGAAAACGAAGTCTGACCTGTGCATCAGCACATCCAGAAAAGGCAAAATGGCCATATACATTTTTTTTTTTTTTTTTTTTTTGCATGTAAACCTTAACACTGGATGCAATTCATTCAATAATCAATAAAAAAAACCTCAGACTATTCCTTATCAAATATACAAAATATTTCATCCATATATCCCTAGGATTGAGGAGTATAGGCAAACAAATTCTTTTTTTTTTCCCTCCCATTTTTTTTCAAGTCATTGTACATATATTTATGTTCTCTCTACAAATGAGCTCTGAAAAGTAAGAAGCAATAACCAGTTAGCTTTTTGTTGTTTGTTATATTTTCTATTCACCACTTTACAGTGAGTAATATTTTTCTTCTTGTCTTTGCTCTTCTTCCCCATTATTTTAATATAGTTGTATTATATGAATATATGTGAATATATACTTTTAAAATGCCCTTTTTTTACTTCCTTTTGTTTTTTTTTTTTTTTTTTTTTTTTTTTTTTTTTTTTTTTTTAAATCCATTATGAAATTTTGTAACCCCACCACCAATTATTTAAGTATTTACAAACCTAGTAGATATTGATTCATTTATTGAACATTATCATTTAAAGATTTTGGGACAAAAAAAATACTGTTTTTTTTGTTTTTTTGTCTTCTTCCCAATTGTCATTGCAAAAGGAAACAATGGTTGTTGCTATTTGACCTGCTGGCAGATATGTAAAAACAATTACATTTTGTGAAAGTAACAAGTAATCTATTTTAATCCACATAAAGAAGAGGTGTTTTCTTTTTTTGTTTTTTAACGAAAGTAACTGCTGTTTGCTTAGCAAATTTGACACTCCTCTCTTCTAGAACTTAATTAGGAGGCTAGTCTCATGGACTACTGCTCAATATTCATTGAATGCTTCCATTATCATGGTTTTGTGCTAAATTTAGTAAATCACTAGATGTACCTTGTGGCTGAAATATGCATTTTCTAACTGCCAAGAACAAAATAAAAGCCAAGATTTTAAATATGAACAGAATATATATTAATATATAACTTGTTTTTATTCCCTGTCAGCTGGGAATGAATAATTACTGAAAAGCATAATATTGTAGGGATAGAAATGTTGATCAGTCTGAAGATAGTAGGGTATGCTATTTATCCATAGATGTGGGAAGAAGAGATGGGTTCATGCCTTTTGCCAAGTGTACAGTAAACACAGTCTCAGCTGCAAAATGAACCCAGTTCCCAAATTCCGTTTATCTGTTAGACCTCATTGCTCTGACTGGAATAAAAATGCAAGCGCAATGTATGAAAAAAATATTATAACCCCTTTTTAATCCCTCTTATTAATATTTTGAAATAAGTGCTAGTTCAAAATAGTTGCCAAAAGAGGAAAGAGTGGTCAGTATTTATGTACATGTGAGACCATTATGAGGGTCTTCCCAAGTGGTTCTGTCTCTTTACTGTATAAATAAATATATGCAGTCACCTTATCTGTTGCCTGTTAGTTCTAATTAGCTTTCCAGATACCACTTCAGCTATACCATCACCAAATTTAACACATTCTGTGATATCAAAATCCATTCTTTATGGAGCCATAATGATCAACTATTAATGTAGCTTTAAGAATTCCCACTTCAACTTGCATTTTTCTAATGTCTTTCATCATTACCTTTTTATGTTTCTGAGATGAGGTATTGTAATTATTAACACTATTTACATTGTTTGAACTGTTGTCCTCATCTTTGTTGCTATATCTACAGCAACAAAGTGGCATTCTTGGATATACTAATATCTCGAACAGAGCATAGGTTCAAGAAATCTGAATACTGTGAGACAACATTCACTGGACAGTACCAACTTCAACTCCTACCACCCAGTGTAAAGCAAGGCATCATCCACTGCTTACAACATTGAGCAAAAGTTATAAGTTGTGATAAAAGTGTTCAAGAGGATGACGACACTTAGAAAACAGCTTCGGTCTGCCTAATGTGAAGGAATTATCAGAAAAAATACAAGATCTGTGGTCTGTGTAACATCAGGTCTACCTTCAAAAGTGCTTTAACACTTCGTAGATACCTCTTTCGAGCAAGACCCCCCCCATAGAGGAGAACATGACTAAGGACTGTGTTTAGAAATATAAAGGAGAAACAGGCTGCTCACTCAAGATAATACTACAAGAACATCAGAGAACTGTAACATGAGTGGAAATAGAAAAATCAGGCATAGCCTACCATATATGGAGGGTAAAGGGAGATAACCACCCCCTGTGGGATGAAGTTGAAATAATAGATAGAGAACATAACTGGAAAATACGAAAACTTAAGGAATCAGCACATATGCTAGGCCACAAAAATCTCCTAAGCCGGCCAAGCATAGAAATGTATACAATATGGAAATCAGTAATACAGAGAGCTATAGCAAAACAACAATAACAAAAATTGCAATATGAGCTCTCGTAAAAAAAATGATTACTGAAACATTAAGTTTATAAGTCACAAAAATTCATACACTGATGTCCTCAAGGATACTTGCCCCAATGGATAAATGTTGGTTGGATCCACCAACTTGACCAAAAGAGTTGTGAGTTCAATAGGTGGCAAAAATATTTTGAGAGTTGAGTTAAAGGGAGATAACTGAGACATTCTGAAGAGAATAGAACAATTTACATTGGTGGACAAAATTCCAGTCACCTGAAGAAGGCTGGAGTGTACAACGGCTACAAAAATTGTGTATAAGGCAACAGTCCAAACAATGTAAATAGTATAATCTTTTATTATGTGAGCAGTTTCATATAATTATTTATAAAATATACTCCTCAGGATTTCTTTTATTTAATATTGAAAACCTGTAAGATTTTGTTTCTGCTTCTATAATTACTGTACAAGTCATCACTTAACCTTTTCAGCTGAAAAATATGGCTATACTATTCTGGCTTCCCCTGCAAACGACCTCGTAATACAACATAGAGGCATATGCATTTATCACTATAAATCTTTAATGTCTATATTTAAGTTTGTGTTGTCTATCATGCAAACAGTTGTCATTCTCACTTTCAATACAGATACTCATCATGGTATGAGAGTTTTTCTTCCCTTTGCAAAATCCTTGTTCTGTGCTGTCCATTAGCATTTTTTGGCTACTTTATTTTATTTGTCCCTTCATCTGTCTGCAATTCTGGTGACATGTCATCATTTTTATCTATGCCCTCCCTAAACTGCTTTGGGACTATTTGCCCGCAATCATTTACCCCCATGACCTTCCTCAAATGGAGCAGTAATGTGCATAATAGTCACGATTTTTTAATTTTTTTTGTTTAATCTTGCCATGCGATAACAGAAAAATCTTTGTTATAAAGCATGTCCTGTGTAGCCATATCATACAATCACCGAAGTTAAGCAACATCAAACCCTGGTCAGTACCTAGATGGGTGACCTCTTGGGAATGCAAGGTGCCATAATCTTGGCTGTGTGGTGGTGTAATGGATAACAGACTGGAATTGGCAATTGGAGAGCAGAGTACTAATTCCAGCTGCTCTCAATTAGACCAATTGACAAGAAGCATCTAAGATAATGCTGAATGATGTTTCTTTGGTGACAAAGCAAAAATTATTACAACTTAGCTGAGAAACTTTGGCTCCTCAACAGTATTTGCATTTTGATCATCATTTATTGCAATCTTTAGAGAATTGATATAATGAAGAAGATCTTTGGAAGACTGCAAAAGTCATGCATAGCAGTTCTTTGTTGAGAAATACAAAAATGCTCCAAGAAGGGGGAATATTGAAGGCATCTGATAGTGGTGAATATGTTGTTTAATTAATATTGAAAAATATTTATTTTGTTTTTAGCCAACCCAGTATGTTTGGCACATCTTAAGTGCATAGTGATTTTTCTCTTGTGTCAAAAGACAATAAAAATTGTAATCTGTTAGTTTCTTTTTTTTTTTTTTTGTTCCATCTGATCTTAATTCTTTTTGGAATTTTGCTGTAGAATTTTTACACTTATTCAGTCTTTTTCTCTTTCAAACTCATTTTACATTGTAACCTTTAACACATTTTTCACTTTCTTCAAGTCTTACTTTTGTGGGGCATGTCAATTTTTCCAAGACAGGATAATTGCTTTTCTTCCAACCTTTTGGTTATTCATTGCCGAAAATGTTTTTCACTTCTTGAAGAATCCGTACATTGTTATTTTACATGTAAAAGTCTTATCGTCTAACATTTCCCTAAACACTAGTTTATCAGTATTTGTATTAATATTAAATATAAATAGTTGGGCTGGGCTTTATATGGTAATTCTAAAAAAGCTAAATCTGTTTGCATTATTGAAGAAACTTTTTTCTTTCTTTCACAGGATGGAGAAGAAGTTTATAGTGAATATGTAAAAGAAGATCTTATAAAAGTGTTGGAAAATTTTTTGGGTAAACAAGCACATACAGATGAAAATGCAAATAAGAAAAAGTAAGTATATAGAACTTTGTAATCAGTATTTCTTGAAAGAATCTTTGTTTGAAAATACCATTCTGATTGATACTAATGTGGCAACTTCTGCATGATGTGAAATTAGAATAAAATATTATTTTTATTTGTTATAGACTGATTGCTGCAGTGAGATTTACAATTTTGTATTTGAGGCTATTTTCTTGGTAACAAGTAATTTGGTCTACTGCCAAATTGTTTTTAGTTTTAAAGAATTCACCATAACCTGTAATGAACTATTTTACATATGTCTTGGAGATTGCAAATAATGAAGTTGTGGGGGTTAAACAGGACAGATAAAATGTTTTCATTGAGATTTTAAGATAAATTAATATTTTATTAATTTTATAGTGAGTGGTAAAATAAATTTTATTCAAGATTTGGGTGGACATTGAAGTCAACAACCAGAGGCAACAGTCTGTTCCATGCTAAACACAGTCGTCAGGCCATGTTTAGCATGAAACAAACTGTCGCTTCTGGGTTTTGACTTCAATATCCACTTTTATATTTACATATTTTCTATGCCTGATATTGAGCACTTTAACACATAAATATAGCATACCTTAAAACTGTATTTTATCATATATAATGCAAACAGAATACAGTCAAGTCAAGAAAGAACTAAAATATGGTGGATGAGACCAAGAATTGTCCCTTTTTATTGGTTAGGGAGAAATACCAGCATGCATCTGTAGGATTTGTCTGTAAATTTGAGTGGGGGTGTTTCTAGCAGTCATTTCCAGTTGGTTGTAACCAAGTTTTTTTTTTGTTTTTTTTTTTTTTTTTTTTTTTTTTAATCATAAAATATATATATATATTTTTTTTTTTTTTTTAAACTCACAAACTGTTACATTTTCTACCCTTCTTCATATATAACCCAATTCATTGTTTTATTCTTTGTATAATCTGTTCAATTTGTTAATGAGATGCCTTCTATTGGATTATATCAGCCTGAAGAGATGATCATAGGATGTGGCACCATTGGGAATTACCTAAGAACCATACTATGTGTTAACCCTAGTCTTGTGTAGAAGGAACTTCTCAAAAGCTATCAATGGTTGTGCTAGCACAAAGTTACAAGTCATCATGATCGAGTGTTTGAGTGTACTGGTTTTGTTCAACCACTGGGCAAACAAGGTCTACTCAGCATAGTTGCAGTATAAACTGCAGGTTGGCTTTGTGTGTGTTGAAACATTTTCCTAAGTTGGCATCTGCAACAGATTAACTAGTCACCTTAGCAGATGGGCAAACTCTTGATGTTGATTTCTGAAACATAATCTGTGCTTAGATACTCAAAATATAAATGGTTTGATGATATAAAAAATATTTGCTAAAAAAGAGAAATTATTAAATTATGTCCAATCTAATCATAAATTCCAAACCTAATTTACATTTGTTTATTTTCTAAGCACAACAAATTTTTGATTTACAAAAATGTAAATAATAAAATTTCAATTTCAGTAACTCCTCAATCACTGATTCTTAAAAACAATTGAACATTTAAATTACTGTAAAGATTATTTCTTGTGTGTTTCAGCCATGTAACATTTATGGATGTATTATAAATGCAAAATGAAAATACTAAGAATTGTACTAAAAAGTTATGACCCATTTCATAGACTACATATTTAGTTTATATTGCTATCTTATTTTATGAAATTAAGATGTCTTAATTCCTATTTTCAGTTTTGATTTATGAATATCTGAAATTCTCAGAAAGAAAACCAAATATTTTTTATGAGTTATAAGAGGAAATACATAAAAACTAGTGTTGTAACCATTGTATCTTGGTTAGTTCAGATTAATTTATTTGTTGCTGTCTGTTTTGTTCTGATCACAATATTTTGGCTTGTCTTAATGGTGTATTGAAACCATTGTATTTTATTTCACTTGGATTAGTTTCTTAGTCTTTGTTATTTTCTAATAATACTTGTGTTGTAAAAAATGACAGCAGTTGTTAGAAAGTTTTAATAGATGCAATGAAACAAGTCTTGAAATTCAATAAAGCCAATGAACCATTTAATTAATCTATTTCTTTTATATTTTTTAGACGTTCAATTGTATCTGTGATTCATTGATTACTCCTGGCATTATATAAATTGCTTCTTGCTCAATATTTTTTCATGTTAAAAATTTTATGTGTTTAATATAACAGGGAAATTGAAATATTTCTTGAGAGAAAAAGATTAGCAGTAGAACGACAAAAGACGATGACATAGCCTATTTCAAAACCAAGTTGAAGCAAGATGATCACTTAATAGACAAAGGTATCTGAGTGCCTCACATGAAAGGCTTGAGTAAATAAGATTGCAGTAAGAAATGTAGGAGTAAAGGAACTGATAAATGGTTTATTAATACTCAGAAAGTAATTTTGTCTAAATGCAAATATTTTATTTGTAGAGATTAAAACAGCTAAGGGAAGTAATCACATAAATTTACGAACTTAAGTTGATTTACCTCCCTTCTCACTACAGATGGGGTAGGAAATAAATACATATTGATAATTACATATATGCTGTGATGATTTTTTTAGCCACCGTATCTGTTTTTACAATGTTGAGTCTTGTTCTGAAGAGGTACATGCATTCATTTCCTATATGCCACGTTTTGTATCATTTCCTGTGAATTCTTTAAACTGTTCTGTCTTTACCATGTGTTGAACCTGTGACCTTTCCAGTGAAGTAGTTAATTTTCACTAGTGATTTCATTTTGGGACCATTTTGTTACAACAAATTCATCATTTTTTTCCCTGTTAGTGGGTGTCAGATGTTTGGCATAATCTATTAGCTTGTGTCAAATAATTTCCGTTTTTGTTTATCAATATTATTCTTCAAAATATAATTAGTTCTCCAAAATGGAAATTACTTGTGACTCAGTCTAATATATGCTGATTCTTTGATTCCTTGAACTTTCTTTAATGCTGGTGTCTATTATTTTCTGACATCATTCTGTAAAAGTTGGTGCCCCCCCCAAAAAAACACGTGTTCAACAATATTTGATTTTACAGTTTATTTTTTCCACTAATCAGTTGAAATGAACAAAAATACAGCCATTACAATACTTTGTCTGAAATCAAAAAGTGAAAGAGCAAAAAAAGAAAAATGTAATTTAGAAAGACTAATAAATCTATCTTTTACTTCAGCAGTATAGATGTATTCATTGACCTTGTGGTGGATGCTTTGCACTGCCCAATGAACTCTTGGTCACCTGTACAAAATGGGCCCAACAAAGGGCGGGATCAGAACCAACACTGTTCAAATAGTAGCTATGTTGAAACTACAAAAAATGGTAAGCATATAATTTTTTTTTTTTTTAATGTTATTCAAGATCATAAAATCTCTTGAAATGCTTATAAGCATTTTTATTGCAAAGTATTTTTCTAATTTAATGTAAATATATTTTTGCTTTCATTTCCGTGTACATGATTTTTATTAAGTGCAGTTTAGTCTGCCACAAGATCACAGCAAAAGAGCACTCTTTGAAAACTCACCAAGGCTTCAGACTAACTTTTTTCATTATCATTTAAAGTTATTAGTAGCACAATAAGAAACACCATTGAAATGATTAAGAAACAAATTAAAAAAAGCTAAAGTATAAAGTTTTAAAAATACAAAATTAAATTAAATTTCACTGTAATTTTCATAAAAATTTAACTTTATTTTTTTAATCATTTTTGTTAAATCACCTTCAATAATTTTATACACAAATGTTCTAATTAAGTTTCATACACAGAAGAATTTTTATCAAGCTTTAAAGAATTATTTAATTAAATAAAAACTTTTATTGTTCCAATATTGTCCCAAAAAACCTAACCAGTCACTCCAAATTGGATAACCTCTAGAATCTCTAACCCTGGAATTTACTACACTAGCAAATGGGACGAGCTTACAAACCATTGCACCAAGATTAATCTAACACAAGGATACTAGTATGAACACCTAGTGAGCAATGAAATAGAAATAGCCTGCTCAATTAGCTTGCTAATGATTACTCCATAATTTTTAGCACCATCTGTGATAGCAAATCAAAGTTGGCTGATTGCATTGTTTATTTTTCTTCATCTGTCATATTTGATTATTTTAAAAAAAATGTTACTGTCCTTTTTTTTTTTTTTTAATTTGAAAAGTTATTTATAAATGTAACATTTTTATTATTATTATTTATTAGATTTTGAGCATGTAATATGTTACCATTTTTCTGAAGTATTTTTTTCATCTTAATTTCAGTTGCTTTTTATCACAACCAGATAATCATAGATAAAGATTGTTAGTAAAATGAATTGGAAATAAAGAATAAGCATCTTTCAAGGTTTGAACTCACATCCTTCATCATCCTTTGTTTCTGGGACAGGTACCTTACTGGTTAGGCTACAAAGGCTAGCAATTAATATCTGGGAATTGCAAGAAGATGAAAGTCATCAAAAATTAATAATTACTATTACTGGTTTTTGCAATACATTAGTATTTTACAGGTTGAATATACAAGATCATAAATTACACAGCAGTTTTTTTTTTTTTTGTTTACACAATCACGATAAACTGAGATTAATTTGTTTTAAATTTTCAGAGAAATTTAATTTTCCCTCTGGTTGTATCCTTGAAAAAATTCTCTCTGTCCAATATTTAGACGATTTGGATATTGAAGGAATTTACCCTCTTTATGAACAATTACAAAATCACTTCCTGAAATGTCCACAAGATAGGTAAGTGATTTCAAAGCATTTTCCAGGTTTCCAAGAAATGGAATCAAAGTGGTACTTCTATTGAAGACTATATAATTTGACAACTTCTAACATATTTGTATCAATAATTGGTACACTCGCTTCTCATTGCAAATGGATATAACTAATTTCCAATTTATCTTAACTAAAATGAATTACATAGTAAATCAATTTTATGATTTTCTTGCTAAATTATCTTGTAATTTTTTTTTTTTTATTAATTTCTTTGTTGAAAAATACAATGGCCACTTACCTAGGGCATATATAAAAATGTATCTTAAAAATGTAGTATCTTACTTGCTCTTCAATAAGGTCATACTTATAGATATACAATAGGAGATTTTACTAGTTTGACTACATAGAAATTATTTTTTCTTTATTGTATATCAATAAATTTAAGTGAAGTATGGAATGTACATTGGTATAGTTTTCATATTCAACGATAAGACCAAAATGGGATTATCAGTTTATCAGTCTTATATTTTGTTTCTCTTTCTAATTGATTCTTTATATGTAACAAATTTTTTTCCATTTGAGTTTAAAGTTGAAAAGCACTCCTTATAAAATACACTTGTAATTATATTATTTATAAATTTGACACAAGTCGTCATCATTTCAAGAGTTGCTCAACTTACAACACTCTTTATACAAAAAACAATTTTTGGCTAATCCATCTTACAGCTTTCTTAAGATGTAAGAAATAAGTCTCTTGTTTTTTGGGTTTTTTTTTGTTTTCTTAACATGAAAAGAATGGTAGCTACTTTCTTTCTGGAAAAAGAAAAAAAACCTTTCTTGTAGATTGTACATCTAAAGAGTGTGGATTAGCTTTAAACCCTGATAACAACAAAAGCAACAATACAGTTGTTTGAACAAATAATTCTTTTCAAAAGTGAAGGAGACACTTTCAACAAAAGGAACACAAAATCCAAACAACATTTAGAACACTTTTAATTACTCAATTTTCCAATAAATGTGTAATTTCTTTGTTTAAGGATGAGTTTAAGATTTTTCACTTTTTCAGGCAGAAATTTTGCATGGATGGTCCTTACAAGGGAGATGCTTGGTGTGTTGTGTCCAATAACAATAATATTGAATCTGCAAATAAGAATGACATACTTTATGCCATGATCAAGGTATATTAGCTTCTAATCTTTGCTTTTCATTAGAACAAAATATGAATTTTAATAAATCCCCTCTGTGTTTTTATGCCATCATTTTTTCAGTGTTATGCTAGATCTACATAGAAGCTAATTGCATTTAAATCAGCAGCAGGAGGCTTGGCATATACAAAATGTATGTGCATGTATATCAGACAGAATGGAGCCAACTGCTCATGGAGGCTTCAAACCAATCATAACTAGACTTGATACCCAAGGATCTATCCTCCCCAGGCAGCCCCTCCACATTTCACTAACTGATGAATAAAGGGTACATACCAATATTTGCATCAATAGCCAAGGAAACTCTATAATTTCTGGATGACCTGTCATAAATTGTGACCTTGAATCACATGCCATATCAAGTGAATATATTGTGGTGCTAAATGAATCTATCAGTCATATATATATATATATATATATATATATATGATAAAAGTATAGTTTTAATGTATGCTATATTTATGGGTAAAAGTGTTCAATATCAGGAATAGAGCCTGTGTAAATATAAAAGTGGACACTATGGTCAACACCAAAGGGCAACAGTCTGCTTTATGCTTGAACACAATCTTCAGGCCTGAAACTTTCATTCAAGCATGAACCTCAGTGTCTACTAATATATAATTATCAGTAAGTGGGTAATGAAAAGTTCTTGTTTAATCCACTGATGAAGCATCAAAATTCTATTGGGAATTACTTCTTGGTTGTGCTGAGAACATCTAAACACTCCCTGAGAAAGAGAAAATGTATGTATGCATATATATATATATATATATATATATATATATATATATATATATATATATATATATATATATATATATATACACACACACACACATTTAGTGGGAAATAAATGAAAGATGACCTGACATAATGTTATGTGGCTTGCACCAAATTTTAACAATCTCATTTCTCTTTCAGATGTATCAAGAGCATTAACATGCCAGCTTCCAATTTGACTGTTAAAAATGGAAAACCTTCTGGCACTAGTAAAAGTGGCCAAGTAAACAGGAGATGGTTTTGCATCGAACACCTAAAGATACGCATAGTGATGCACACCAAGTTCATATTGTTTATGGGGATCCTGGGGTGTTGTGAGCTATGAGAGTCATACTATACTGCTACACTTCTTCTTGGGGTGGCTGTAAGGTCAGCACTGCCACTTACATCAGCAATTCCTGGATCACAGAACTCAGCTCTCTCACACATGCCTCTGGAACAGCTAGCCAAGAATTTTCATAATCCTGTCACCACCCCCACCATCCAGACCCAACATGTAGCCAAATCTCACCTGATTTGAATTCCTTGGACTACTAGTTTTGGGACATCATCAAAAGAGAGACTAATCATTCTCTCCACAATATGAAGAACTCCTTGAAAGACGCCTTGAATATAATGACCAACATGAATGAGATTCACCTGATATGGCATTCAGTTGCTTCCAAGGTCACATCAAGACAGGTCTTTGTTTAAATTGAATAACTTAAGTTGAATATATCTATAAATTCTTTTGAAAATGTACTGATTTTTATCTATTAAATATCTTTTAATTTTCTTTATATTATAAAATTTGTTCTCAGTTACCTAGTGTGGCCCATATATATATGTTACACACAAGGTAAATGCATTTATGTAATATTATTAGTCAAAAGCTGTAATTGTAATGGATTATTTCTGATAACAGCTGTTTTTTTTCTTAAAATCGTATGAAATGCACTTCTGAACTGGATATCCCTTTAATGTATAGTACAAATATATGAAAAGAAGGTAATAGTTAGAAAGTGCCTATAATCTACTTGTACTTACATGTTTACTGATTTAAACTTCTCTTTTGAATATTTGTCTCTGAGAATATAAAGAAGTTCTTTGTTTTGCCTGCAGTATTTTTCTGAATTTTACTTGAAACAAAATATTGTGCTCATTGTATATTTATTCTTTTATTGGAATAAAAACAACAACAACAACAAAGATGAAGAAATTAGTCCAAATAAATCAATATACAATATTTTGTCTGCATGTTTATAAATTGCAATTATTTTTTTTATTTGTTTGTATAAAAGCAGTGACACCCATTCAAGAGTTAATGTACCAGAAATTAAAATGAATTTAAAATTTTCCAGGTCAAACAATTTCTTGTTGCACAAACTGTAAAAGACTGTTCAATAATTTTGGCTATGCAAAGACAAGATGAGAGGTAAGTATGATTGATAGATTTCATTGGATAAGCATTTGCCATACTCATTTGATCTGGGCATAATCTTTTCATGCCTGTTATCTGACTTAAGTTTCAGTAATCAAAGTGTAGTTATTTTGGTTTCTATAGATTTTCCAGCCTCTAAAACTTGCATCAAATGCAGCTCTGCAAGAAAATGCAATATTACACATATAGTTAGTTGAAAGGAGCTTTTAAGCTCTACAGTTGATTGCCTGTTTTCTGCATATTCCTTTGAAAAATAAGTTTACAAGAAATGAGTGACTGGAAGCTTTCAAATAGGTTTCTTTTCCTAAAAAGAAAATGCTCTTCAACAGTAGAAGCAGTGCCATCATTATTATTTACATAACTATTCAAGTCTGTTTTCATGTCTATAAAGACCCTCTTCTATGTAAAAGAAATAAAATGGATACTCAAAGGGCTTATTTCTCATAAAATGACTGAATTGGAATATAAAATATTATTTAATCAAAATAACTGATTTCATTCCATGACTAGAGGTTAGAAAACTTTTTCAAACCTCAAATAATTGCCTCAATTGTTGAATCCTATCATGAATAAAAAAAAAAATCAATTTGAAAAAGGTTAGGTGAATATCAACATATGGATGCTTTAAAACTTCATATCCTCAGTACCTCAACATGGAACTGGGCTCCTGGTATTATCAAGCAACAGAATGTTTAACATTCCTGATCATGTGTCTCACAAATGCTTGTAATAAATTTAAGGCACTTGGGATAGGAGATTATTTATTCTATTGACCTACTCTTAACTGGTCATCATTTTTTTTCAAAACTTTCCATTCAACAGATATTTTGACTTTTGAACATTTCCCACCCCTCTAAAAGTATAAAAGTTTTATAAAGATATATTTTTTTGTTTTATTATTAGGTTGGTGCAAAAATAATGTCGTTTTTGACGTTCAACTTAACGTCAAAAAAGGCCTTATTTTTGCACCAACCTAATACAAACCTATTGGAAAAGAGTTAGAGAATTAAATGAAGTCTATTTTGATTTAAACAAAAAATACTAAGTTTAAAAATGTACTATATTTGATTGACCTCTTTACAAAATTGATGCTTACAGTTATATCATGTTGAAACAAAGGTTCCTGTACAATCACTGAAGTTAAGCAATGTCATGCTTGGTCAGTACCTAGATAGGTGATCACTTGGGAATACTAGATTCTGTAAGCTTAGATGTAATGGATAATGGCTCAGATTAATCGAAGAGTAGAGTTTCAATTCCAGTTGGGTTCATTATATTCACTTACCTGCAAATATCTTCTTCCCCCACAGGTATAGGTTAATTAGTAAGAGTTGTATCACTAAAATCATCTAAAAAAAAAATTCTTACAATCTGAAAAAGAAAATACTTTCAGATTTTAAATAATTTGCAAAGGGTTGATAAACCGTAAAAAATGAATCACTCAATCTCTTTGGTAGCCTACTTTTGGCTACCTAGTATATGGAGAGAATGATTTTTTATTTTATTATTTACTTTTGTTTATTTTATTTATCTAAAATTTTTTAATAGGAAATTCCCCCCGCCCCCGAGCATATTAAGGCTATTCCATTTATTTATTTTATACTTTTTGACCCTTTAAATGATTTTCAACCTCCCTTTTATCAGAGACCTCAAACATCCCACTTGTATTAGATACCTAAGAGTAATGTTTACCCAAACACTGTAGACGACCAGTGTTTGTACTTAACCGAACTCCATAATACTGTAATATTAAATGTATCTTAAGTCTTATATACCATAAAATACAGAATTTTATTGTATTATTCTGAATTGGTTATTTCATGTGAAATAATCTAATAGAACCATAGCAACCATTATTCTATGAAAAGCTGCTTAAAGAAACCTCATTCTTTTAGTGAGTTTTCCAAAATCTCTGGCCCTTGAAGATGTGTATTTAAATTATGTTCATTTATTATTTTTTTTTATTTTACAGCATTATCTGCTATACAAGAGGGTGCTAAAACTTCTTGGCTCAAACAAGAAGCCCTTTGATTTTTTATTTTGATTAGTTAGAAAATTAATGATAAATAATTGTTTTATAAGTTTATAACATTCATGCAGTTAAAAAATAATGATATTTTGAGTAATTTTACAATTGCTTTATGTTTTCTATCTGTGTAATCCTACAATCAACTCTCTTGTTGTATGTGAGAAAGAATTTTGCTTCCTAAAATAATTAAAAGTAAAACTGTTCAAAGTTAACATTCAACAAAATGAAATAAAGCAAAGTAATAGCAGCCAGATCTCCTCTGCTTACTAATGAGATATTCCATTGTTATAGTTATATTTGCTTATTGGTATCAAGTAATGCATCATACTACCATAACAATGAAATATCTCATTTTTAAGATGGAAAGATTAGGCTGTGTATTTGATAAATATACAAAGGCATATTGTCTTATATAAGAGAATAGATTGGCAATGCTGAAAAGATTTGTGTCTAGCCCATTTCCCCAAAATGACCAAAAATTTGAATATTTTTCAAATGGGCATTTTCAGCATCCTCTCTTGTAATTAAAATACAAGAATAAAATAAAAACAATATAGTATAATTATTTTATATGTGAAGTTATCACTTTGATTTTTTTTTTTCTTTTTTTCCAGACCTGAGAAATCAGCTGAGCCTTACTTGGTTGATAGTTTTGGCCATTATTACAAGCACTCATTGGCTATCATTGATCTGGACCCAAAACCTTTTGACAAAATTCCGCTTTATCAAAAACATGATGCTGCAATGATCAGTACATGTCAAAAATTACAGTTCCCTGCTTCTTAAACATATCAGCTGAATGGAATCATTTAACCAAGCATTTTTTATTTTGTCAAAACAAGATGAATACATTAAATTGTAAATGTGATTCTATGCAGATAACACAAACATTTGATCACTGTTTTTTTCCATACTATTAACAGGCCACATTTTTTTTGTTGGTTACTGTTTTGTGTTATCTTTATCTGATGAAAAAAAAAATTTCTTTGATGCAGAGATCCATTTTAATTAGTCCTTGAATAATTACTAAAATTGCTAACTGTTCATAATAGCCTGTTTTTTTTTTTTTTTACTATGGATGGTTTACAATGAACTAAATAAGGATTTTGGTTAAGTATTGCCAAAAAGGTTTGATCAAGTCTGTATTAAAGAGGTGCATTCTTTTTGCTAGCCATGCACCCTTATCAAAATTGGTTATCAATACTGTATTGCTTGTAACTAATGCTGTCTGGTTGCAGGATGGTCTTGAGTGTAGCCAAACAAAGTCTTAAATCTATGACATTTATAAAAGTCAATAATTTAAGTGCCTGCTTCTCCAAATTATTTTGTGTACAAGTCACATAAATACTTAGTGTTTATATTTTCTTGAAATCTTCTCACTAGAATAATTTTTTTTGGTTTATTACATGTAGGATTTAGTAACATTCAAATTTAGATTTGTCCTTGCTAAAAGCAAAAACATTAAATCAAATATTTCAAGATAACTTTTGTGATTAGCATGTATTCAACAGTGTAAACAGCTGGAAATTTCAAACGAATGTTTTATTTTTTTGTAATTGAAGAACAGATATGGTTTTGTTGTACCTCAGTGTATTAATAGATTAATGTCTGTATAGATTTTAATTTACTAGTAAGGAAATAGCTGTCAGAAAATTAGCCAGGGTTGTGATTCAAACATCAGCTCATAGTCCCAGTAAATACTTCCATATTTTGATGACAGAAACAAGCATTTCGTCATTGCAAACTACCAAATGCATCTTCATTCTACGAAAGCTGCTTTTTACTTTTTGCCAAAAGAATTTTACTGCTGTGTGAAATTTTTTTTTAATACTTTTAACTTAATTAAAAATTATTTTGAAAACATCAGTTCCTAACAAAAGATCAAATATCTGAGTTATCTATCATTTTCTTTCTTTTTGGCAAGAACACTGCAAATTATGGTATATTTGATATTAAACATTATTTTTCACCAAAAAGAATACAATACTTTGTTGAATTGTTTTCATGTCCTTAATTTATTTGCAGGTTCTTTGAATATACTCACTTTTTCAAAAATTACTTTGTAAACATTCCTTCTGTTAAAACTCTGAAACACTTTTATTTTGTTATTTAAAAATTGTACATATTTAATTTTTCTAAATTAATGAAATTGGAATTAAAGCAAATCATAGAATTTTAATATATTTGAAGCTGGTGATTTGAATTGTCAATTTTCTTTTACAATTTACATGAACATACAAAAGATTTGGTGCTAATCTTTTTTGGATGTTCTTAATCTTTGTTTCTGCTGCTTATCTGAATATTTTCAGTATTAAAATTATTTTATTGCTAAAAAAAAAAAAAAATAGTAAAAAAGGTTTATTCAAATAGATACCATATTTCCTACCATATAACATGCAATTTAGAAAAAAAAAATCAACATATGTTATATACTTTAATGGTTGGGTTTGGATAGATTACCAGTACTGAACACCCACTTTTGATACACTAATCCCCTGACGACCTCAAAATTAAGCATATGTAATTATAAATAATTAAATTATAATTTTGAATTGAAATAATGTTAAAATATTAAAAAATACTGGACTAATGTCCAAATACTTCTGTTTCACACCATAGTCATCAGATTCCAATATTATTAAATATATATAATTATAAGTGATTAAATTATGATTACAAATCAAAATGATGTACAAGTTTGGAGGAATCATCAATTGAATATTAAGACCAAAAACTTACATATAATCTGTAAAATTATTATGGTGAATTGATGTCATAATAGGAAGTAACCATTGTCCACTGCTTGCAGTAAGAACATTGTAACTCTTCAACAAATAGTGGAATATTTTGGACATATGTAATGGCTATAGTAAAGAGAAAGCTTGCTTACACATAGCCTACATGCTTACCAATACATGTTAGTCTTTGATACCCATGGGTCTCAGCAAAAAAAAAAAAAAAAATCAATGTACCAGATAATTTAAATGTTAGTATAAACTATACTCAGATTCCATAAGTGATAGCTGTGTACAGGCCTGTAGTGTTTGAATAATTTTGTAGCTTATTAGCTAGTGTACAAACCTCAAACAGGCTAAGCAAAGCAGCTTAGCAAAGTGTGCAGATAGAGATGCATGATTCGCTTAATTTGTTCAGTAGGAGAATATCCAGTAGCCATATTAAAGAGAGGGCTTCATTAGTTAATGGAAATTGTGGTGTTAGTTTATTCCTAAATTTTCCTTGACAATTATAGGTGCATATTATATGCTGGGAAATATGGTAATTCCAAAATTGCAATAGCGGTCCAACAACTTATTTTTGCGTGTTGATCTTGAGTATAAAAATCACTAAAAAAAAAAAAAAGAAGCAATATGTGTTTGTATACAAAACAAATCATTCAGCAATTAACATGTTTTCTTTTTAAAAAAAAAATTAGCCAAATGCTAAAAAGTTTCTATTTAAAGTGATGTAAGTAGTAATTTTTAATCTGAATTATCTATGCTATTTTTTTTCATCTTTTCTCTAATCTTGCATTTCATCTTTTATAAATAAAATATTTTAAACATTACAAACACATCTACCATTTTTATCAGATGATTTTTTTTTTTTATTACTATTATTGCTGGACATAATTATGTTCCTCAAGAAGATTGAAATTTTAAGAATCTAATATGATTTGCTGCAAGCAACATATCTATCGAAATTATTATAATTTTTATGTTTATCTATATTACTTCCTTTTTGTGATGTTTTTTTTTTTCATTTTTCTTTATTTTTGTATATACTTTCTAGCTGCAATATTTTAATCCTTTATTGATACTTTCATTGTTTATTCATAGGAATATTTTAATCTTGATTTAACTCTGAAACTAATCAGCCTGAATAGGTAAATCACTAGTCAAATTCAACTCCTTCAAAAGCAAAAAACAAAAAAATATTTCTCCAATTTTATACTTTGATCTTTTTTGTTTTTTCTTCAAAGATATTTTTAATAAAAGCCTTTTCAATGCCGAAGAAAAATATTGAAACGAATCCATTTTTATTTTGCTGACTGGTTGTAAGGCCAATTTAGCTCATATAAGCTACTTGAAAAACATTTCTCTGTTTTGATTTCACACATTACTTGGACTAATATTTTCATCTTTGTTATTATACACTAATTTATATCACCTGGTGTTCACATTGGGGTTATCAAAGTCCCAATGTTTTGGTTGTTCTATCCTCTGGCCATTTTCCAGTGTTTGTCATATTTAGAAAGATTTTCTGAATTTTAAACTGTACCTTTCATTCAATGTAGAGATTGATTGTTCTCATTTTGTTGTTCTTGCGCTTGGAAATCTTTTATATTATTTCTTTCTTGTAATGTCACTTCTGCTCATTCCTTTAAACCAGTGTTTATGAATTCCACTGCTTAACCCAGTAACTGAACTCTTGATCACCAGCTTTACAAAGTCAGGCAGTGAAATCCATGTCAATTCAGTGGGATGAGCAGAAGCAGCATTACAAGGAAGAATTAAATTAAACAAGATATGGACAATGGAATGAGAGTAATTCACTTTTGTAGATTAAATAAAAGGTTTCCATTTGAGATTCCAATAATGTTAGTGAATATGGTAGATATGTGTAGGAGGCTATAGGAGACAATGGTTGAAACATTGTGGTTATAAGTCAATGTGAATACACTAGTTTGAATAAATCGGTGTATAATAATTCCTCATTTCAGAAATTGCCTGGACATTGTGAGAATAACAACCAAGAAGAAAGCACCAACTTGAATAAATTGGGTTGTGAAGATAATTTCTCATCTCAAATATTCATCTTTTTTCTTTTTTATTTGAATCACAACAGTTCTGCCACTATATATTGCATCCTGTGATCTTCTGAGTTTGTACTTTTTTATGATTTAAATTTTTATTTGTTTTCTTTCCTCTCTTTCTTGATGACTGAGGAAATGAAAAAACGTTTTTTGTTTTTAATCAATATAAAACTAACCAAAATTGTGAAAATGATTTAAAAAAGAAAAAAAAAGCTTATATATATATATATATATAATATTCAGATATGACTAAAACTATATCTGTAAAAAGACAATGTAAATAAAGACGAAAGGAAAGTTCATTTTAGCCCATGCATTTTGGCCTCTGATGGTCTATCAAGGCCTTGATAAAGTCCATCAGAGGATTAAATGTGTTAGCTAAGAAAAGTTATCCTTTTTTCTTATGTAAGCATTGTATTAAAAACAACGAAAATGAACATGCTAGTCTGAATAATGTGTGGAATTTGGGAAATACTTCATCTCAGAACTTCAGCTAACCCTAGGTAGGAAGGCTAGAGAGCATATCAACCAAAAGAAAATAATTGAGGCATGAGACCAATCCAAATAATGTGAAAAGTGAAAAATATATTTACTTCAGAAATGTTACTTTTGTCAGATTTCCATTTGATGCAAACAGTCAGATCATAATAATCTTTAAAATTTTAATTATGAAAAATTATATATCAAAATGGTTGATATTTTACAGCACTGAAGTTATTTAAATTTAAGGTTTTAAATGTTAGCATTAAATTTTAAAAATTTAATAATCTTTAAAGAGAATGTTCCTTCCAGTGTTTTCCTGCCATCTGTAAACAATTTGATGTTTATGATCAAGATGATGATGATGCTGCTGCTGCTAAAAACGGCCATAAAGATGAATTTCCCAAAGAATTGGAAATATTGAATCATATGCAAATAAAACAGGCAGAAACGATATCATTTATCAGAAATAAAAACTTTAACAAAATATTTG